AGACAATATACAATACAATGTTTATGAATGTACATCATGATGCTCATGAATTTTTAACTGAATGTCCATGTGTGTCAAGTTGATTAAGGATACAATTGTACTTTCACCTTTAAAAAAAATTGCAACAAGGATTCTTTGGCTTGTAGTGCATTTTCAAAACACCTGCGCAATTTTTTCTTTTTTAGGGTCTTTAGCACGATTGTCCCTTTCTTTTAATCATTACTATTAGTTTTGTCTCTGTCTAGGTGTCTACCCAGGAACCGGCCTATGGCATGGACTAGTCAACCCTCCAAAACCAGTAAAAAGTAAATCCATCAATAACTTATCAGAATTGGTGAAAGCTGGTCTTAAAAAAAAAAAATCTCAATAACCCAAGATTGTATTATGTTATATTTTTACTTGTCTTATTGTTGGTTTTTCTTTAGGGTTATACACATATTTGAGAATCTATTGTTGGTAAAAAAATCTATTAATACTTTTAGCTAATAATAAAAGCTCATGTTGGTTTGATACTTTGATTAGACAATTATTGTAACATGCTTGATGATTTTGATCATTTATAATTGATAACAAATAGTTTTATGAAAATGTTGGTGCAAGTGACTACAATTTTAATATATATGATAAGAATATAATTGAATAGTGTCTAAAATATTTTTATTGTTCATACATAACATTTAAATTTTATTATTTTAATTGATGCAAGTTAAATCACATCATGATTGAGTGAATCAATATTCTATTGATTCAATATCGGTTCTGACAAAATGTTAGTCTCTGCTATGAAAGGCATGTGTGGTTTATGATTTGCTTGGAAGAAAGTGGGCAAATAAAAAATCATTATAAGCCAATAAAATTAATTTTATTATTTATAGGTCTAAGGTCCTATGAGTGTAAATAGTCTTTCCCTGGTTCTCTTTTTGCATGAATTGCATTGGCCTATCAAAACCTTTCTAGCAAAAAGTTGCTTTATGTATTGTCACTTGTTTTGTGGAAATTTTGCTTATGTTCATGCTCATTTGTCTTGACCTAAATTTATAAATAACTTTTAACAAAGTTGCTTTATGTAATGTCACATGCTTTGTGAAAATTTTAAAAATGTTCATATTATTCTTTTTTATTTTATTTATAAATAACTTTTAACAAGTTGCTGTGTGTATTGTCACTTCCTTTGTGAAAATTTTGCTTGTGTTCATTTTACTTCTTTTTGTCTTGGCCTGAATTTATAAAGAACTTTTAACAAAGTTATTGCTTTATGTATTGTCACATGCTTTGTGGAAATTTTGCTCATGTTCATATTACTCCTTTTGTTTTATTTTTAAATAACTTTCAGCAACGTTGCTTTATGCATTGTGATCACCTACTTTGTGGAAATTTTGTTTATGTTCATGTTACTCTTCTCCTCTTGTTGACAAATCGTTTTTAAAATGTTTAATTAACCGAATTACGAAAAAATTTAAAATTTATTAATTCTATTTTAAAATTTAATAACTTTTTAACTTTACCGTTATTAAATTTACATACTTAAATAACATACTTTCTCTCATTAACATGAATGGAGAATAAAAGAAAAAATTTATGATAAAAATGTAATGATGTAATTTATTAATATGATCAATTTTATTCCTCTTTTTACTTTATAAATAAAATTAGAGGTAGTTTTCAAATTTTTAAATGGACGTTTCCATTCCCGACTCCTTACCATGGTGGGACATGAATGAGAGGAAAGGAGTGACTCTGCCAAGTGGTGGATACATGACTCCGAGTCAGCAGGGCGTATTTTGATAGAAGATACTTTTGCTAAATTTATCTTAATTTATTATTTTAAAAAATTGTAATTGTAAGGTAAAGATTTGTTCCTAGACATAACAGAACTATTAAATTTGCTTTACATTAATACTGAATATTCATTAAATTATGATTGAAATTCTATAATCTTGCTATTGAAAAAAATAATTAAAAAACTTAACTACTAAAAACCAAGAGATATAGCATACAAAACTTATGACCAACGAAGTCAAGTATCCAAATCTTAAGTCAGATCCTGACTAAACTCCTACATTGATTTGTATGAATGTGCCAATGTCTTAGGTTTTGTGGTATATCGAAGGAAATGTCAAAAAAAAAAAAAAAACCGGGGAGGGGGGGACAAAGAAGAAGAGTGTTGAGAATTTTACCAAAACAAAAAAAGTGGTGCAGAGCAATGACGAATGAATTGATCGACGATGGATGGAGCAACAACGAACAGTTAAATACCTTTAGGAATCGCAAAGCAATACGACAGCAACTATCGGGGACAATAAGAATGAATGGAACACATGATGATGGTTACGGCTCTCTTGGTTTAATCAGTTAGATTGGTAGTCGAATCGATGAAATAATAATTAAATTAAAATAACATTTATATGTATCAAATTGATGACATCATAATTAAATAAAAATGATATTTTTATGTATATATATAAATAAAACATTACAAATATCAACAATATCATTTTCAATAATTTCTTCATTTTTTCCCTATGTATAAGTTTTTGTTTACCACATTTGTCTTTTAAAGAAAATAAGTGATCAATTTTCTTAACAGTTTAATTCATATAATGCCAATAAATAAATTATAAACTTCAGTTATGTCAAAATTACATGGTTTAAAATGGTCCAATCCCTAAAACAGAACCGACACGCTTTTGTATCTAGGCGGCGGTCCGTCTGATCTGATCGTTCTGGTCAGTTAGGGTCATACGAAGTTGTTGCAGATTTGGTGCAGACAAGCTTTCTTTTCTAATCCTCATGGATGTGGTCCAATTTCGTTCTCCACTTGTCGTGTATTTGTGCGATGGGTTCTAATTAGATTTGAATTTCATGCTACTACTCCAAAGAATTTGGATTGGACCAAGTATGAATTTCTTCCTTGACCTTTTTGCTAGGCCCTCCATCGCAACTTTCTATTCCTTTATGTGCTTGGCGTCTTCATTCATAGAACTAGTTATTATGAACACTTATATATGGCTGGATCTATTGTGTTTATCAATCAGTCTAGGCGTTTTCTTCTCTTTTGAAGAGTTGTTGGAGATGTTCTGTTCCAGATTTGAATCCTCTCCTCCTCCCTTTTGCCCTTTTCTTCTCTTCAACTCATCCTTACTCTTAGATTAGAAATTGAATGGTTGAGATCTAATATCAGATTCATCTATCTATATTAACAATAGTCTACAGTTAGTATGCATTCTACAGTTGTGAATTGTTTAGGAAATTTGAACAGTTTAAATTTATTTATTTATTTTTTTATGTTATATGATAATAGATTTATAAAATATTAAACATTAGTCATTCAATTTTTAATCCAAAGTTGTGAAAATGGGATGAGGGAAAAAATAGGAGAAAAAGGGATGAGGAGAATTCCAAATTCGTTCCCTACGCCATTGTGATGAAGGCTTCTAGTGTAAGTGTAATATTCATTGAAAACAAGGAAGAGGTTTCCACATTTAATATTCAACTATGTTTCAAATAAGATTGCCTCTAATAGAATGATATTTGTGGGTAACTAAAAAAAAAAAGCAAAATAAATAAATTGACATGTACACACGCTATAATGTAAATTGTTATTCAAGCACAACTTAACATACACCACAACCAACAACAATAACAATTTAGTGTCAAACGCAACCATGTTAATGGAAAACTATCTTTTTATTTTCATAATAATGTTATGATCATATTCAGATTTGATAAACAAAAGAATACAGAATAAAACTCAGGGTGTGAGTGAAGGAGAATAGTCTCAGGTAAGGGTGAAATACATCATAGAGGAAGACGCTCAACAAAATCATCGACACTTCCTGGACCTTAGTGCTCATCTTCTATATCTAATCCCTACCCATAATCTAGATCCGGCTCAATGCCTATAAGTAATCTCATATAGAGCCCAACCCATTCATTACAATGCCCTTCCCTTGAAATTGACCTTGTCCTCAAGGTCAAAAGTAATAAAAGCATCCTGAAGAACATCCAAAGCTTGCCTATGGGCGGATCCAACCATTCCAGCGTAACAATGTGTAAGGGACCCAAGAAACTTGCTGGTGAATGCATGATGTAATGCTGCCTTTGAAAAGTCCAGATGTCAAAAGATTACCCAGACATAAAACTTGTGAAATCTGACTCTGATGGTAGCCTTCATCTACCATAACTTCCTGGGCAGATAGGGTTGCTACATGATATAAAATATGCTCCCATTCAAAATTAAAAATATTTGTAGCAGCTATAAAAACTTTAGTAGATGGAGTTGGCAAGTCCCCCTGAAAATAATGCACAAAATTAAGGTAACCCATAACAGCTAGCAAATTGAGCCGCAAGTCCTTCACAGAGTATATTAAAAAGTGAGCAATTTGATGGGTAACCTTGTTGGAGTCATCTGATCCAACCCACAACCCATTAATTATCAACATTACCATAACATAAAATTCTTCAAAAATCATGGGGCTTGGTTGTAGGGAACTGAATGAAGAATCCCCAGCACAAATAAATGTTACCGTCGTAGCTTCATTTGCAGTCGATAGAGTAACTAATAAATCTACATTCAAGCTCCATTCTCGCTGAATCTCTCCAGGGTCAAACACCAAAATATAAAATGGTAACCTATTTTGATAATGCAAACATGAGGCAAAGATTGTAATACAATATTGTAATAAACACCCAATTGACATTTCAGACGGAATGCACCAATTTCCAGGCTTGCAAGAATGCAAATTGGATTTAGCAGCAACCTCATATAAAAAAAATCGAGTTACTGGCGCAATGTTAAAAGCTATATGTTCATCCTTCTCAAAATGTTGATTGTTCCAGCCTTTATGGTTATAAAATTCTACAAAGCTGAATGTTATGTGTAACAATCTTGATAAATAAAATAAGAATAATTGTGTTAATGTCTTTTTATTTATTTGAAACAATTATGACAACAAGGAGTATCGGCACAGTAGAAGTGTGCTTATAATTCCTTCATTGGGTCTAGAGTTCGAATCTGTTGAGGCACAAACAAAGTCTTTCTTTTTTTTTTTTCAGCTTCTAAAATTACCAAAATGCCCTCATCACATGAGATATTTTTTCTCTCTTCTTGCCTTCTTCGAGCATTCTGAGAAGCAGAGAATTAGAGAACTGGATACCAATCCCTCGCCTGTCATCCATCGATCTTTTCCTTTCTTCCTTGTCAATCACTGGTCGCACCGTCGTTCACGCAAGCCACCATCTCCGGTGTGTTTGCTGTTATTTCGTCCGCCGTTGGTGTGATTCTTCCCCTGTTTCACTGCCATTTCTCTGCTCGTTTTCTGTGAGACGGTGGCAAGTGCGTGGGTATCTTCTCCTTCGTTGTCTTCGATTGGAGTTCGCCGTCGGTGTTGTGGGAGACCTCAGAGCGTTCATGTTCCTCTCTTGCTAGCGTTGTGTTGTGGGAGTTGATTAGTGGCTGTGGGAGGTTCATTTTGTTGGCTTTCACTCTTTCCCCTGTACCTACCGTCGTCTCTTTCTCCTTGTATCTGCCAATGTGAACGGAGGTAAAGATGTCTTAAGTCCACTTCTCTCATCATTTCTATGTGTGCTCGTATCTTAGGACTGAAGTGATGATGCTTCAATTTTTCTGCTATTGTGAATGTTTGAATAAAGATAAAAAATTGATTCAAGATGAAATTTTAATGTTGAACTAAGATGGTACTTAATCAATTTGAATTCTGTGGATTTAAGATTGATATTTTTGTTAGAGGAAATGGGACTTGAGAGGTTGTTTGATTTAAATGTTTTATATTGGAAAATGGAATTAAAGAGGAAGAAGTTTGATTTGAGCTTAAGAATTAGTGTATGGGAGATGTTTGGCATAATGCCTATTAGAAGAAACTTTACTTGATTTGCATATTTCTGAAATTTCATTGATCCTTGCAAGTAGTATGTTCAATTTGAGTGCTATTACTCTATAAACTTAAATTAAACATTGTAAAGGAGATTTGATTGTGAAACTTGTATATAACTATTTGAATTCTTAGAGATTGTATGGCTATTGATAAATGGTTGGACAACAGATTGTAGGTTAGGAACCTTGTGTGAATGATTGTAAAGTGATGCATTCAAGGTGTTTGTTAAAAAGTCTAAGAGAAAATCCTACCCCATTTGTGCAATTAACTATATATGTCTAAGGTTATATAGTGAAATTATGATGTGTAAATTATGGTGTTGTGGAACCTTAAGTTCATGATAGTTTCATAGTTATCCTATCTCTAGCATGAGAGGAACATATAGTTCATGAAGAAAACTACCTTTAGTTGATAGCTTATACTAGGATTTGATGATTTTATTTTGAAAAGTTGCTTGTATAGAAGTTATTTTTTTTTCTATTTTGAGACTTGGAATTTGTGGATATTGATTAGATATTTATGAAAAATTTATATTAAGTATTTTTCTCTTGAACTTGACATGGATTTGGGATGGGGATGTGCTCTTTTAGGTTGATGAATGCTAATCTCAAGTAATTTAAGGAGTTTGAGTGGATACTTAGGTAAAGTGTATGTAAGAATAATAATGGTGCTATATTAGGTATTAGGGAATTAAGGAGTGGCCTATATTGTGTAAGTAATTGATTTGGAGTTAAGTTATATGTTTGAGAATCTATCAGGTAAATGGATCACGCCCCAAATCAATCTATACATTAACAAATTTTGTTTTATCAAAATGTTATTTTCAACAATTTACAATTATTAGTATGATTTTCTCTAGTATTGATTACTTTTATTAATTAAATTTCCCTTGCACATATACTTATAAGATCATCAAAAATACTTTTATTAGTTCTAGTACTCCTTCATTCGATAAAAACAATCATGTAAATTGGTGAAGGAGTTTATGAAACATTAGTTGTGAATTTTCCTAATTAAAAAAATTGAATTTTTAATCAATTCATATGAGTTTGTTATTGAAAATAGAAAAAGGTATTTTGATAAGTGGTTATTTTCTTGCATGTTTGAAAAAATAATTTTTAGATAATTGTAAGCAGAATACTATTTGCTAATGGCAGTTCCATTTAGCTCTTGGCACGCCATGATCAAAGACCAGCTAGTTTGATTTTCAAGAGTTTTGTTCTCACCGTTTCGTGGCTTCGATTACATTTGGTTGGTTGCTCTCATGGACTGTATGTCCACGTCTATTTCACGGCTTTGACCATATCTAATTATTTACCCTTGTGAACTATGTATTCATATTTGTTACTTATTTTGTTAAGTCCTCAAAATTTTAATCTTTTAATTGACTTATATATTTAAATTTTATTGGTTTTAATTAATAAGTATGTCATCTCTTCTATTCATATATAATTCATTTATAATTCATTTAATTCTTCAAGAGCTAATGATCGAGCATTTTAGTTTATTCATACTTAATGTTTTATGATTCTTGGTTCCAAGATTTAGTGAGCATATTATATTGTACTATTCTCTTTCCAATCTTTTTATATATATTGCTTAAGTTTATTCATTTTATTCTTTTAAATTTTATTATCATTGGAATGTTATTCACTGAAAATAATTTGGGTCTCGGATAGTGTAGTTGACACTAAACCACCTGCTGAAAATTGAGGAGTCTATTATTGACTAGAAGTGGGGGAGCTAAGGATTGAACTTTCTTTTAATGTAAAGTTTTAATTATGAAATCTTATTTTATAAACTTATTTTTAGGTGTTTCATATAGTCTGTGGCTAGATTATTTATGTTGTTATATATTTTGTCCACTGGCTAGAAGGAGTTTTGCTCCTGATTGATTTGATATTTTAATTGAAACATATTATAGAATTTTTATGAGGCTCTATTTATAAGGAAGGTTTTGCTAAATTTTCCATAAAAAAAGTGCTGAAACTTTTATTATGGGTGAAAATTATTAAAGGTGTTAGAAATTTCAATATAAATTTAATTATATTTTAGAAATAAATATTAACTAATAGATTAAAGTTTCCTTGATCACGTCTTAAGAGATGTCTGTTTGTGCATATATCCCGTGCCAGTAATGTCTAATTTTTGGAATGAAATAAATTGAGCAAATTCCACTTGAAATTTGGTCCAGTCAACGCGTCACCCAATATCAGTATTGGAGCAACAAGTTGAAACCCTTCCTTTAAGTATTCAATGGAAATCATATTGTGCAAACTCGTGCCAATGAAAATTATAGGAGATAAGCAGCCATTTACGGCACCATACTACTTTATCTCAGGAGCAATTAGCAGTTGAGCATACAAACGCACATGAAACAAATCATGGTATCCAATTTCAGCAAGACCAACTAATTGATGCCTACTTAATACACCAATATCGAAATCTTTCAAATTGTCACACCCCAATACTCATGGTGTGACCGATACAAAATATGAGATAAACTCATATTTCATAAGCCTCAATTATCTAAATATTAAACTATAATAGTGATAGATATTTATACTAATTAATAAATCATATAATATATACATATATAATTATAAATTTCATAAATTCTTAAATATTCGGTAAAAATTTTGGCAGAGTCTCCCCTGTAATTAGAACGTCCCAAAATTTTTATAGCCAATAAACTTGTCAACAAATCCAGAAGAGGAGCTTAACTCTACACTAGTAGATTACATGATAACAAAAATAGGAGCAGAACCTAACTACGGTATCTGTGGAGCACTAACTACCATTGTATAATATAATGACTATTTATATTAAATTAAACGATTGAAGCATGCTTCCACTGTCCAAAATGCAATAAAGGCATAAAGCCCCTCAATGATTAGCTGGAGGAGCAAGGTCAACTACATTATCTGAGACCAAAAATTTTTTTTTCATGAATAACGTCCCAACAATAAATAATAAAACATAAATAAAATGAAAAGTTTGAAATAGTCATGTAAGTTAAAAAAAACAAAACTTTCCATAAAAATTCAATAAATTTCATAATAAAATGTCTCCATAAATATTCAAGTAAATCTCAAATCATTGAATTATCGTAGCAAATAATAATATCGCTTGATTTCAAGAAAGCACATAAATGAAATAAATATTTATGCCACGAAAAACAAATATGGACACACAATTCACGAGGATAAGTAACCAAACGCAGCCGAAGCCACGAAACAAACGTGGACACACAGTCCACAAGGGTAATGCTAACCAAACGTGGCTTGAAGCCACAAAACAAATGTGAGTACAATGCTCACGAATAACTATCCCTCCGTTCCACGTGCATTGGCCATCGCACGAGGCTAGCACCTCCTATAAACACCCTGCTAGCTAGGTGTACCATGGCGCGCCAAGGGCTAACAGAACCGCCGTTAGCAACTAGTGTTCTGTATAAAGTCTCTTTTAAATCCACTTTCAAACATGCGAGAAAATCATCATTGGTAAAAATATAATTTTTATTTTCAATGTCAAACTCGCATGAATCATTTTTCCATAACAATTCAATGATTTTCAAAATGAAATCCCATAATTAAAGTCCAAACTTGTATTTATTGAATAATTGACATTTCAAAAGTGCTAAAGGTAATTTCATAAAATAGAAAAGTTTAATTAACAAAATTACCCAGTACTCACATTGTTGTTATAAAATGATTTTCATAAAAATGTAATATTTTAGTAAAGGAAATTTTATAAAGAAAATCAGTTGGGATGCTATCCACTTACCTGAAATACTTCCCAAAATTTATAACTTACTCCTTATCCTTTTTATCGAGATCCTCTTTCTCTAGACACCATATGAAATATAATAGGGTCTTAATAGACTTTCAATAAGTTCAATAAGACTTTATTTCAAACTAACATATCAAACATTTAACTATAATAAATTTAAAGCCTTAGAACCAAGATTTACACATAAAGTAACAATTGCTAAATACTCAATTAAAATGCAATTTTCTCTTTAGCCTTTTGTCAAATGCTTAGTGTGCATCATTTCAACCATTCAATTGAGCTTTTTAACATTCAAATCTCTTGCTCAATCATTAATCAACAACCATACAACTCCTAAGAAATCCACTAATTACACACTAGCTCCATAATTATCAAATTTCTAGATAATACTCATGTTAATTCACAACTAAATAGTATCTAAACTAAATATACTTCTTATAAGAATTAATGAAATTTCATAAACTTCAAAATCATGCAAAGTTCCTTCTATCAAACATTTTATCAAACACCTTACATGCCTTCATGCCCAACTATAATACAAGCTTCCTCATTTCCTTAAAAACTTTATTAATACCTAAATTTCCAAGCTTTCCATTTTTTTTTCCTTCAACACAAGTCAATTGAGATCAAAGAAAATTAAATCTAATTCTTCTTTTACAGTAATCTACATAAGAGAAATTATCTACCGACAATCATGCTCTTAAATTCAAATTTAGCTTGGTTAAACTCATGTATTCCCTTCTATCACGCACAGCAGCATCAAAAATAAAAGAAACATCATAGCTAAGCCAAATATCACACAGATAAAACAGCAAAGAGGTAGGCGATTTGAAGCTCCACACCTTAAATCGATTACGGTAGAATAGGAAAGGAGGAAGAACGAATTCGCTGCGCTGAATAAGGGAAGAAGAAAGGAACCTCTTACACTAACTCACATCAGCAAAAATCAAAGAAGAGACAGCACCTATCGGTCATAGGAGGAAGAGAAATTGAGGTTACCTCACGCTCATAACTAAGGAGGAAGAGAAGTTCAAGATGACGCACCACGCATCACTGTCAGCTACGAAGCAGAGAAGAGGTAAAGAACGGCCAAACAAGGGAGTGAACCCAGCTATCTCCCACTTCCAGCTACAAAATATGGACGCGAACAGAGGAAGCCGATGGCAAAGATCTAGGAAGCAAGTCGATGGTGAAGAGCAGAAACGCAAACTGACAGTAAAGAATCAGGGGAGCTCATATTGGTGAAGAAAGGAGAGAAATTGAGGAAAAAACAAAATGATCTGTCTCGCGTAGGAAGAATATAAATTCTGACCAAAAAGGAAAATTTGGAAAACTACAAGATGTGACATAAGGAAAAATTACAAGAATGAGCCCAAAATTTTCTATGGTTTAAAACAAAATAAAATCAAACTTTTGCTCAATGAAAATCAAACTCTGGACCTTCAATAAATTTCATTTAACCACCATTCTCCACTTTTTATAAAACTAATTTAAATAAAAATATCAATTAAAAGAACATTTAATTTAAAATTTTGGATCATTACATTCTTTCCCCCTTAAGAAATTCGGTCCTCTGAATTTGAATGAATGGTTATCTTAATTTTGAAATAAATGTGAATACTTCTCCTGCATCTTACTCTTTTCTTCCTAGGTAGCTTCTTCGATAGAGTAGTTACGTTACAACACCTTCACAAAGACGATTTCCTTCGACCTGAGCTTTTATATCTGTTTTTCAAGAATGGCTACTGGAAATTTTTTATAGAATAGGTCTTTGTTTGATAACCTACACTTTCTCTTTAACATCTTGCACAAAGTCTGGTCTTAAAATTTTGTCATCTTCAATTTCAAACCAATCCAATCAGAGACCTATACTGCCTACCATATAAGGCCTCAAACGGTGCCATTTGTATACTCGTTTGATAACTATTATTATATGAAAACTCCATCAATGCAAAATGCTCATCCTAATTTCCTCTAAAGTTTAAAACACAAGATCTCAATATATCTTCAAGAATTTGGATTGGTCTTTCAAACTGATCGTTTGTTGGCGAATAAACATCTGTGCAAAAATCCAATCAAGTTCCCAACGCTTCTTGAAATGATCTCTAAAACCATGATGTGAATTGTGGTCCTCTATTAGAAATTATATATACTAAAACCTATGCAATCATACAATTTGATCAACATATATTCGAGAATAATCGCTGGCAATATACTTCATCTTGACTGGAATGAAATGTGTAGATTTGGTTAATCTATCAACAATCACCCAAATAGAATCATACTTCTTAGTGGTTAAAGTGGCCTTGTTGGCTTCTAGTGTTCTGCCTTAACTTGCTAAATACAAGACATTGTGAAACAAAGTCTACCACATCCGCTTTCATTCCTTCCCACCAATACAATTGCTTCAAGTCTTGATACATCTTTGTAGATCCTAGATCGATTGTATGTGCTGAATGGTGAGCTTTTTCCAAAATACTTCTTCTAAGTTCTTCAACTTGCGGAACACAAATTCTATTATCGTGTCTTAAAACACCCTCTTGGTTAATAGTCAACTTAATGTTCTCCCTCTTCTTGACCAGTTCTAATAGTTTGCAAAGTTTTAAATCTAAATTCTAAGCAGCTTTAATTTGATCAATCAAGGAAGAACGAGCTTGCAAGTGACCTAATAATACTCTCCTCTCAACAATTTCAAACTTCACTCATTCTTGTTCAAGCTTATAAATGTCCTGCATCAAAGGTCTCCTTACCATTGTTATACACGATAGACTACCTATAGATTTTCTACTTAAAGCATTAGCTACTACATTTGCCTTGCCAGGATGATACTGAATTGTGCAATCATAATCTTTAAGCAATTTCATCCTTCTCCTTTACCTAAGATTAAGATCTTTTTACTTTAAGATGTATTTAAGACTCTTGTGATTAGTAAAAATTTCACAAGTCTCACAACACAAATAATGTTGCTAGATTCTTAAAGCAAAAATGACTATTGCCATTTCTAAGTCATCAATCGAATAATTTCATTCATGTTTCTTGAGTTTCTTGGATGCACATGCAATTACTCTCTCATTTTACATTAAGATAAAACCAAGACCAAAACAAGAAGAATCATAGTAAACTACATATCCCCCTGATCCTAATGGCAGGCTTAAAACTGGGGCAATTGTTATATGGTCTTTCAATTTTTAAAATTTTTCCTCACATTCGTCACTCTAAAAAATTTCACACATTTTTTTTTTTGAAAAACATTAAGCTCCTGTCAACTAATCAAAGAGATCGTCAACGTGAAGCAATGAGTATTTATTTTATTATTATTATTATTATTATTATTATTATTATTATTTTTAGTTGCCTTGCTAAGTTGTCGATAATCAATACAAAGTCTTAGTGATCGACCTTCTTTTTAACAAAGAGAATTAGTGCCCCCCAAAGGAAAGTACTAAGATAAATAAATTCTTTATCCAACAACTCTTGTAGCTAACTCTTCAATTCTCTTATCTTAGATGGTACCATTCTGTAAAGGGGAATTAAAATTAACTGAGTACTTAAAATCACATTAATAGCAAATTTGATTTCCCTATCTTAAGGTAACCTAGGCAACTTATCTGGAAAGACATTAGAAAATTCTCTAACTATTAGAATATGTTCCAAACTAGAAATTGGTTACTAGACATCCTTTATCAAAGCTAAATACTCTCGATAACCCTTCATCAAAAGTCATTATGCCTTCATGGCTGAGATTAAAACTGTTGATCTTTCTATTTGGCTTACTTGGAAAATAAAGAGTTTCTCGAGGAATTTCAAATCTCACTACTTTTAAGTAGCAGTCAATAGCAACATGACAAGTAGCTAATCAATCCATGCCTAAAATTATATCAAAATTAATCATATTTAATAGTATCAAATCAATTAGGGTTTCTTTACCCTCAACAGATACTTCACAAGATTCACATCCCTACCTAACAAAGAGAGGTTCTCCTCTTGGAGTAGCAACCATAAAAGAATTATCAAGTTTGATGGGTTCCTTACCCAATCTCTTAGAAAAGTACATAAAAATATAGGAATGTGTTAAATCAAGATCAATCAATACATACACACTTTTAGAACATACAGTAATAATAACTATAACCATATCATTTGAAACTTAAGTATCCTGTCAAGTCATAGCATAAATCTGTGCTTGTCCTTGCCTTCAAAATTGTCCTTACTTTATAGGAGTTTTCCCTGGCATACCCTTATTAGCAAAAATAGAAGGGACACTGACCAAAGTATCAAGTAGGGAGGAGGTCAAATAGATCCCTAGCTAGACACCGATTAAACAAGAAGACTGTTTCTTCTTAAATAACTAACCTGTCTGCATTCATAAGAAGCACTAGATGCCTTATGACAAGATCTAGAATAAAAATTCCCACAAGTAGTACTAAGAGCCCTAATATAACTTGGATGATTAAAATCTTGCTCAGACTGCGGTTTAGGATTCCTAAAACTATATCTAGAATCTGGGGAACCAATGAAGATGAGATCCAGATGTCTGCTACATCCCAAGAGAATAAAACTATCCCTAAAATTGATCATTTCTAGAAGAACCCTTGAATCTCACTCCATCTTCCCTCTTACATCTCTTAGAAACCACCTTGTTTTCTTGATGCTTTAACTCAATTCTTAGAGCAGCATCTTTAGCTAGTGAATAGTTAGTGAAAAGCTTCATCATGACAATTATTAGATCATGTATCTCCGAGGCAAACCATGAACAAATTTACAGATCCTTTCTTTCTTATAAGACACTATGTGAGAAGCAAAAGAAAAGAAAGTCTTACAAATTTTTGATCAAGTTCTAATACTAACCCAATATGTCTCAAGTTTAAGAATTCTTCAATCTTAGCATCTTTTTTCAATACCTTTAAGAAACTCTACTAGGTTCCCTTTTTCATTAGTTCTATAAAAAGCAAGGAAATTCAGCTTGATAAAACTATCAATTTCACTATAGTAGTCTCCTCTCTAACGACACTATAAATTTCCTCTTCAGTACCTTTGTGTAGTCGATAAAGTACCCTCATAAGATTAGGGTATAAAGACTCAACCTCAAATAAAATCTCTTGAATATGCCTAGGGGATCAACCACTCCTAATCCTTGCTTGCTTATGACCCTGCCCTCATCCATGAAGGGGCAATTCATTGTGTGGAATAGAGGACCTATTTGGTGCCCTACTGCTACTAGAACTCTTGCTAAAAGGACGATGTCTGCATGACATACATACTATAATTATACAGGAAGTACAATAAATAAGAAAAGAATAACTATTTAGGATTTCCTAAAAGGGCCTTCAATAAAGCCTCAATTATTACTATGCCCGGGTTTATAATAATAATTGGGACTCCAAAGAAGAATCCTTGCTCCATGTAACCATAGAAACCTAAGGTCTGATACCATCTATCGCACCCCAATACTCATGGTGTGACCGATACAAAATATGAGATAAACTCATATTCCTTAAGCCTCAATTATCCAAATATTAAACTATAATAGTGATAGATATTTATATTGATCAATAAATCATATAATATATACATATATAATTATAAATTTCATAAACTCATAAATATTTAGTAAAAATTTTGGTAGAGTCTCCCCTGTATTTAGAACGTCCCAAAATTTTTATAGCCAATAAACCTATCAACAAATCCAAAAGAGGAGCTTAACTCCACATTAGTAGATTACATGATAATAAAAATAGGACTAGAACCTAACTACGGTATACATGGAGCACTAACTATCATTGTATAATATAATAACTATTTACATTAAATTAAACGATTGAAGCATGCTTCCACTGTCCAAAATGCAATAGAGCCCCTCAATAATTAGCAGGAGGTGTAGGGTCAACTACATTATCTGAGACCAATTTTTTTTTTTCATGAATAACGTCCCAACAATAAATAATAGAACATAAATAAAATGAAAAGTTTGAAATAGTCATGTAAGTTAAAGAAACAAAACTTTTCATAAAAATTCAATAAATTTCATAATAAAATGTCTCTATAAATATTCAAGTAAATCGCAAATCATTGAACTATCGTAGCAAATATCGCTTGATTTCAAAAAAGCACATAAATGAAATAAATATTTATAAACAAATTACTGAATAAAAATCAATGGAATATAAAATCATCAAATAATTGAATTCATAATTATAGAGACTTATCAGAACAATTAACAGACGTGGACACACAGTCAACGAGTGTAAATAACCAAACGCGGCTTATGCCATGAAAATAAACGTGGACACACAATCCACGAGGGTAAATTACTAAACGCAGCCGAAGCCACGAAACAAACGTGGACACATAGTCCACGAGGGTAATGCTAACCAAACATGACTTGAAGCCATGAAACAAATGTGAGTACGATGCTCACGAATAACCATCCCTCTGTTCCACTTGTGTTAGCCATCGCACGAGGCTAGCACCTCCTATAAATACTCTGCTAGCTAGGTGTATCATGGCGCGCCAAAGGCTAACGAAACTGCCGTTAACAACCAGTGTTCTGTATAAAATTCCTTTTAAATACACTTTCAAACATGCGAGAAGATCATCATTGGTAAAAATATAATTTTCATTTTCAATGTCAAACTTACATGAATCATTTTTCCATAGCAATTCAATGATTTTTAGAATGAAATCCCATACCAAAGTCCAAACTTGTATTTATTGAATAATTGACATTTCAAAAGTGCTAAAGGTAAATAAAGAAGTTTAATTAACAAAATTATCCAGTACTCATATTGTTGTTATAAAATGATTTGCATAAAAATGTAATATTTTAGTAAAGAAAATTTTATAAAAAAAAATTAGTTGGGACGCTATTCACTTACCTAAAATACTCCCCAAAATTTATAACTTACTCCTTATCCCTTTTATCAAGATCCTCTTTCTCTAGACACCATATGAAGTATAATAAGGTCTTAATAGACTTTCAATAAGTTCAATAAGACTTTATTTCAAACTAACATATCAAACATTTAACTATAATAAATTTAAAGCCTTAGAGCCAAGATTTACACATAAAGTAACAATAGCTAAATACTCAATTAAAATGCAATTTTCTCTTTAGCCTTTTGTCAAATGCTTAGTGTGCATCATTTCAACCATTCAATTGAGCTTTTTAACATTCAAATCTCTTGCTCAATCATTAATCAACAACCATACAGCTCCTAAGAAATCCACTAATTACACACTAGCTCCATAATTATCAAATTTCTAGATAATACTCATGTTAATTCACAACTAAATAGTATCTAAACTAAATATACTTCTTATAAGAATTAATGAAATTTCATAAACTTCAAAATCATGCAAAGTTCCTTCTATCAAACATTTTATCAAACACCTTACATGCCTTCATGCCCAACTATAATACAAGCTTCCTCATTTCCTTAAGAACTTTATTAATACCTAAATTTCCAAGCTTCCCTTTTTTTTTTCCTTCAACACAAGCCAATTGAGATCAAAGAAAATTAAATCTAATTCTTCTTCTACAGTAATCTACATAAAAGAAATTATCTACCGACAATCATGCTCTTAAATTCAAGTTCAGCTTGGTTAAACTCATGTATGCCCTTCTATCACGCACAGCAGCATCAAAAATAAAAGAAACATTATAGCTAAGCTAAATATCACACAGACAAAACAGCAAAGAGGTAGGGGATTTGAAGCTCCACACCTTAAATCGATTACGGTAGAATAGGAAAGGAGGAAGAATGAATTCGCTGCGCTGAATAAGGGAAGAAGAAAGGAACCTCTTACACTAACTCACATCAGCAAAAATCAAAGAAGAGACAGCACCTATCGGTCATAGGAGGAAGAGAAATTGAGGTTACCTCACGCCCATAGCTGAGGAGGAAGAGAAGTTCAAGATGACGCACCACGCATCACTGTCAGCTACGAAGCAGAGAAGAGGTAAAGAACGGCCAAACAAGGGAGTGAACCTAGCTATCTCCCACTTCCAGCTACAAAATAGCAAGGCGAACAGAGGAAGCCGATGGCAAAGATCTGGGAAGCAAGTTGATGGTGAAGAGCAGAAACGTAAACTGACAGTAAAGAATCAGGGGAGTTCATATTGGTGAAGAAAGGAGAGAAATTGAGGAAAAAATGAAATGATCTGTCTCACGTAGGAAGAATATAAATTTTGACCAAAAAGGAAAATTGGTAAAACTACAAGATATGACACAAGAAAAAATTACAAGAATGAGCCCAAAATTTTCTATAGTTTAAAACAAAATAAAATCAAACTTTTGCTCAATGAAAATCAAACTCTAGACTTTCAAAAAGTTACTAAAGTAAATTTCATTAAGCCACCACTCTCCACTTTTTATAAAACTAATTTTAATAAAAATATCAATGAAAAAAATATTTAATTTAAAATTTTGGGTCATTACAAAAATCTTGAAAGATAGCAAGGATTAGGCACTCCATTGAATGTTCATAAAAAACTGTGTATGGTAGGAGAGATAAAAAGCAACTCCATGTAACATATTGTGGAAGAGCAATGAACAAAGAAGGAAGTACCAGGATCAAAGACCATTTGAACACTCAAACTAGGTGAATTTTGTTGCTCAACTTCAATAACATCAATAATCACAGTTATAACACTTAAAGTAGCACCATAAAAATAATTGCCCATATTAAGACATTGATTCCCAAATGAAATCTGCCCAATAATTCCTTCCTCATAGTCCCAATTCTCAATAATGCTAAGCTCAAGTAATACATTATATCCTCCACAAATAATGACCTTGTCCTCAAAGACAAATGATAGTAAATCACATGGTCAAAAATAAAAATCGCATTAACTAGCACCCTGTATTTGATATTGAAATTCAACTTGAGAATAGAAGATAAGCATATAACAAGGAACATATGAAGATAGTGGTACCTCTATAAATACATTAAAAAAGTAGCTATGTTGGAATTTTTGGAATGAAATCAGATGCTGCATGAATCAATGCAGGTTGACTTGTAAAAGCCAAATTGTGTGCAGGAGCAATGACTAATGAAGCAACTGGTTAACAACCTTTCAATGCCACTACTATCGAAAGTGCAAAGGTGAATCCCAAAAAGGGAACTGATTGAAGAAAGAAGCAAAGCTTATGGTCGAATATGGAATTAAAGCCCTAAGGTGTGACAATCTATTGGAAGAAAATGTTACCTCATGCATATGGTTCAGAGAAAGAGAAATGATGGTAGAATTGTCAACAATGAGGAACTCGACTTCACGAGTCAGCAATGCAAAATCTGCTTGGACAATGGTGTCTTTAATAGCAACTAAACATTATGAGAGCACAATGGAGTCTGTAGCAGCAAGATTGGTAAAAATTGAGTTCTTCTCTACTACCCTAGGGCCGTCGATCATCAGTGGGTTATCGTCGTCTCTCCCACACAGGGCATGAGATAGTGGCACAATGGAGGCATTATCTACTGTGTGTGTGTCAAAAGTCCCACATTAACTAAATAAAGGACTCTCCTAGTGTATAAATATTAAGGAATAAAGTGGGTTAGTAAAATGGGCTTGGAGGAGAAGTGGGCTCGTGTACATGAGACGAGCCAACTTAGGGTTACTTTTATCAAATTTTTTTCACAAAATAATTAAATAAATAATTATTTTTAGCTTGCCCGAAAGACCTAAAATTTTGCTGTTTAAATTTGAATTTGAAGCCTTGGCAGTTTTTTGGGCATTAAACCACTTCTGAAAATTGATTTTGTGAGTTAATGTCTTAAACGTATTTGTCTGCCAATATTTCCACATTAATGGTGTTTTATATATGTGTAACCGAAGCCTTAATCCGGTGATTATGAGCCAATATTCATGTCTTCATCTTCGGGCGATATATAGCCATGGGTGCAAACAGAGCAAACAACCAGTCTCTTGAGTTTTTGGGACAATTCTCTCCTCCCTCTGCCTTCTGCTCTCGTGTTCATCTAGGTTCATTTTTTGTTTTTGCTATTCTAGTTCTTGCTCCACAGGAAGTGCTTGTTTAATCCTAGGGAACTACCGGTCTATCATCCTGGTATGCCAAAATAGTTCTTGAGGACTGTGTCCTTCTGGGCACGACTCAAGTAGCTTGTCGTTCATCGTTCACATCTACACTACCGGTGCCACCAACAATCTTAAGAACTATCCAATCGAATGGAAACCAACAGTGCTAATAATGTCATCCTCAAAGGTGTACCCTGTAGTTCAACTAGAGATTAGTACGTCCCTATCGCCATTGCCATCCCCTTGCTGAGGCCGTTCCCAGACATATTGAAGATTGAAGTCTTTGACGACAGGAACTTCAAACGCTGGCAGGAACGAGTCTTCACCATTCTTGACATGCATGGCGTGGTAGCTGCTCTTGCTCAATTTGAGCCTCCTGTTGATACTGATCAAGTCCAGAGAGTTGCATGGACTCATGCAAATAAGGTATGCCAACACAATATTATTAGCACTTTATCTAATGATTTATTCGATATCTACTATGTCTACAAGGAAGCTTGTGAGATATAGGAGTCCTTGGTGACAAAGTACACTGCTGAGGATGCTGACAAATAAGAGTTCATTATGGGAAACTACTATAAATGGGAGATGACTAAGAATAAGGATGTAAAGGAGCAAATCAATAAATATTATAAGCTGCAGGAGGAGCTTCGTGCTAAAAACATCAACCTTCCAAATGAGTTCGTTGCTGGGATCCTGATTGAGAAGCTGTTAGAATCATGGAATGATTACAAATAGCAGTTGAAATACAAACAGAAGCAGCTATCCTTGACTGACTTGATCACTCACATCATCATTGAAGACACTAAATGCAAGGCAGTATATGCAGCTCGAACTAGAGAGATGACATCCAAAGGTAACCTGGTGGATACAAAGCCTCACAACAAGAGGTATGACCCTAAAACTAAGGACAAAAAGAATAGAAAATCTAATTACAAACCCAATGCTTCTATAATAACCCAAAAAAAAACTTTAAGGAAAAAATTAAATATGTAATAATATGTATTGATTGTAAATATAATAATTATTGGGAAATATGTCAAGAAGGGAAGTTGGTGTAGTGGTGGCTGTGCAAGTATTCCATCCATAGGTCCCAAGTTCGAATCTACTGGAAGCCACAAGGAGAATTATTTTTGCCTTTTTTGTTAAATCTGATATATTCTCCTCTGCTTCTTCAATTTTTTGAGAAAGAGAAGTGAGAGAGCAAGAAAGAGATTGAGATCCAGAAGCTTCTTTCCCCATTCTTCATTTCGTCCCTCCACCGTCCCTTCTCGCCACTGTCACCGGTGACCATGGATGCTCGAATCCTCTCTTCCTTTCATCCATCCTCCCTTATTCTTCCTCTGATTTGTGCGACTGGCCTTATCTTTTTGGCTCAACATTGCTGTCGCCTTATGTTCACGATAGTGGGCGCATTAACATCCGTTCATCCTTGTTCCCCTGCTCTTCTTGGTTCATATGATAGCTTCCCCTATTTCTTCGAGGTTCAGTATCGGTGCTGTGTCCGACCGTGCATGGCAGTGAGTGCGTCAGTTTCACCCTCAATTTTCGCTCAGCTAAATTCCTCTTTTTTTTGCTTCTAGATTCACCGGTTTAAGGTAGGTGCTTCAGGTCTTATTTTCCTTTGCTTATTCTGTACGTGTATTATTTTGGCTGAGCTGTGAATTCCTTCTTGCTGCCGTCGTGTGTGATAAGGAGATTAAAAGCATGATTTTTGGGTTGATAAATTGCTTTTGCGTTGGCTATTGAAGAGAAATAATTTAAATTTAATTTTCCTTGAATGAATTAAATGGTTGGTGTTGAATGAATAAAAAATTTGGGGAGTCCTCAAATATTGATTTTGGAAACCATTGGAATGAGATTTGGAGAGAAATAGCCTAGAATTTTAGTTTATAGATTAATGCATATAAAATATTTGATGAAATGCCTAATTAGGAGAATTTGCTATATGACAACAAGATACATGTGGTAATTATATTATTGTTAACCAAATGGGAATTAGAAGACAATTCTCTTCAATAGAAGTTAAAAGATGATTAATTCACATATTTATATAGGACCACCTTTGGAAAGGGAATTTAAGAGGATAGGAACTTGGTTTTATGGTCTAAATATCATGCAAAGTAAAGGATATTTGATAAATGTTTAAAAGAGAAAATTTTGAATTTTACGTGGCAAAGTATATATATGATAGGTATGTCATCATTGATTAGATAATCCTGAGAGGCATATGTGTTTTGTAATTAAAGTTAAAATATAAATTTGAGATTTTTGGGAGATATTTGAGTTGGTAATTTAAGGACCAAGTTGCCATTTATATAATTAATTATATTTTTATGTTTCATATAATGTTGAGAAGGATAAAAGTAAAAGTTTTCTATCTCATTTTCTTAGTTGTTTTGGATTAATAAAGATTTTTGAATGGTAAAGTATGTTTGAAGGAGTGACAATGATATTCTTTGAATATTAAAAATTTTAAGGACAAGGCATTGTCATCAAGAGACTAGTTTGGAAGTAAGATATGCACTTGGGAACTCTATAGGTAAGTGAATAGCACCCCATATTTTTTTTTTTATAAAAGTAGTCTATTTTTTTAAAAATATTACATTTTCATATAAATCATTTTAACAACTATGATGATTATTATGTACTTTGTTAATTAAATCATTTTGGTTCTGAAATTTTTAGAATGATGGTTAAAGTTGATTAAATTATGGTATATGCATGTATTTTCTTTACGAAATATATTTTCAAGATTGATGGAGGTATCTTTGTTTATTTTACTCTAGAAATTCTTGGTTACTCAACTAGTACAAGTTTATACATTTGCTATGAAACAATATTTTGGCAAACTCTGAGATTTGAAATGATTCATGCAAATTTAATATTGAGAACGCAAATTGTATTTCAAAAATGATTATGCTTGCATGTTTGAAAATTGATTTCACGAGGACTTTAAGCAGAACACTATTGCTAACGGTAGTTCCGTTAGCCCTTGGTGCGCCTTGGTAAATGACTAGCTAGCTTGGTTTTCTTAAGCTCCATTCTCACGTTTGTTGTTCGTGAGCCTTGCCCTCATGTTTGTTTCGTGGCCTTGAGCCGCGTTTGGTTAGCCTTACCCTCGTGGGTTGTGTGTCTACGTTTGTTTCATGGTTTCGATCGCGTTTGGTTACTTACCCTCGTGAACTGGTGTGTTCACGTTTGTTTTCGTGGCAAAAGCCGCATTTGGTTATTATACCCTCGTGGACTGTGTCCACGTTTGTTACTTGTTCTACAATAGTCCTTAAAAATATTAGCTTTTAATTGATTTGTAAATACACACTTTATTGGTTTTATTTAATAAAAGGTATTTTTATTTATTTATTTATTTATTTAATTTTCTTTACAAGTACAAGGAGTTGAGCTATTTTGTCATTATCAATTCGGTGGTTTAGTACTTTGAAGTTATATGGAACTTCTTAACCTTCAAATTCATGATTATATTATATTGATTGTTCTCAGCTAGTATATCTGAATTTTCAATGTTTGCAATTAGTAAGTTGCTACTTTTACTCAATTATGAGTAAATTATACTCATATAACAAATTACATTCAAGAAATTAACTTACTCATGTTTTATTATTATGATTGATATATCTAAATCTTGT